CAGAGGCAGGCAGATCTCTGTGAGTTCAAGGCCAGCCTGAACTTCTGGACTCCACAGGCACTCACATGCATACACATGTGCATATATTCAGACAGAGACATTCACATAAATAATAAAAATAAATCTTTATTACAAAATTAGAAAGACAAATGAGACACACTGAGCCTGGTACAGAGGCACTGATGCTGTAATGCCAGTGTGCAGAAGGCTAAGGAAGGAGGATTATGGAGAATTCAGGGTAACCTGGCCTACACAGTGAGGCTGGCCTACATCATGAGGAAGAAGAGCAGGGTGGAGAGCTGGCTCAGCAGTGACAGAACAACTACAGTTCCCAGCACCCAGAATGGTGGCTTATAATCCTTTGTAACTCCAGCTCCAGAGGATCTGATACCTCTGGCCCCTGAGGGCACCTGCACTCAGGTGCACAAAACACATGAAGACACACACACATCTACACATAGTTAAAAAATACTTTAAGATCTTAAAAAAAAACCCAAACAGCTGGGAAGCTGGGGAGATACGTAAAGTGCTTGCTATTATAAGCAGAAGGCAGGCTTTGGGATGCCCAGACCTCATGTAAAAGCCAGGCAGACATGGCATAGCATTTATAACCCTAGCTTTAACAATGAGAGACTGAATATCCAGAGTGAGGTGGCTAGTCAGACTGGCTCAAATGGCAGACTCTGGCTTCAATTAAGAGACATCAGTAGGGAGTCAGAGAGATGACTGAGCAGTTAAGAGCATTTGACTGCTCTTCCAGACGACCAGGGTCAATTCTCAGCACCCACATGGTGGCTAAAACTGTGGCTAACAACTGTCTGTTACAGGGAATCCTGGCTTCCTTCAGCACTGACTGCACACAGTGCATAGACATACAGACAAACCACTCATACACGTGAAATAAGAGTAAATATTTATATAAAATAAGGAGCACTGACTTCAGGCCTCCATGTGCACAACCAGTATACATTTGGAAAAAAATGGGATCAAGAACAAATACAAAGTAAGACGGTGAGTTATTAGTGTACTGTGTGGGTAATTTCAATAACTGCGAATGGCCTAAATGTTTCTATTAAGAGTCAAGCACTTCAGCTGGGTAAGGTGGCTTAGATATGTGATTTCAGCACTTAGGAGGCTGAAACAGAAAGGATTACCAAACTATGAGGCATGCAAGATTATATAAGAAGATCCTATCTCAAAACACAAAAAGTTACATTCTGAAACAGAAAGGATTACCAAACTATGAGGCATTCGAGATTATATAAGAAGATCCTATCTCAAAACACAAAAAGTTACATTCTGTGCTTTAAAATAAGCTAATACCTTTTTTTTAAATAAAAACTATCATCTTATGTCTATAAGTGGTTTGCCTGTAATTATGTCTGTGATCCATGTATGCGCCTGTGGAGAACATACAGAGGCCATATGATGTACACATACATATTCCCTAAATAAATAGATAGATAGATAAACTTAATAAAAAATTTAAAATAAATAAAGTTGTGGCACATGTCTTTAGTCCTAGCACTCAGGAGGCACAGCAACAACAACAACAACAATAAATAATAATAATGGATCCAGTGTCTTCTTGAGCAAGTTTAGCCCAAATAGATTAGGTAATTTTCAGGGCTTAGACAAATTCCTTGAAAAAATTGTAACTTTATCAAATATGAACCAAGCATCTGTTGACTTGCTTACAGGAATTGAATGTGTAATTAGAAACCTCTCCAAAATTATCTCTATGTGTCCATAGCTAAACAGCTGAGGCAGTCAAGGAAAAATATCTTTTTTATTAATTTATCTGTTTGTGTGCATATGTGTGCCAGCAAAAGTTTGTCATGGTAGCATATACAGGATGGAGGACAACTGGTAGGAGTCTCTCCTTCTATCATGCTGGTCTTGGGATCAAACTTAGGTTGTCAGGTTTGGTGGCAAGGGCCTTGACTCAAACAGCCATCTTACTGGCCAGAAATATCTTTTCTAGTTTCTTTGAATTGACATCTTTTTACATATTTTTAGGTACAGTGATGATTTGGTCTATATGTATAATAGAAACAGTCAGATCAGGGGTATTAGCATCTCCTTCTCTTCTTCTTTCTCCTCCTCCTCCTCCCTCCCTCCTTCTTTTCTGGGACAGGGTTTCTCTGTATACCCCTGGCTGTCCTGGAACTCAATCTGTAGACCAGGCTGGCTTTGAGCTCACAGAGCTGGCCTGCCTCTGCCTCCAAGTACGGGATTAAAGGTGGAACCACCACTGCCCATTGTATTTACATTGTCCTTTTTTTGTTTTTATTTTTTTGTTTTTTGTTTTTTTGTTTTTTGTTTCCACGGGAGGGGATTTATTCAGGGTGGAGGGTGGGAGAGAGGAAAGAGAAGATGGCAGGGGAAGAAGAGCGTATTTACATCTTCTTAAAGACTTGTCATGCCGGGCAGTGGTGGCGCATGCCTTTAATCCCAGCACTTGGGAGGCAGAGGCAGGCGGATTTCTGAGTTTGAGAGTTCGAGGCTAGCCTGGTCTACAGAGTGAGTTCCAGGACAGCCAGGGCTACACAGAGAAACCCTGTCTCGAAAAACAAAAACAAACAAACAAAAAAAAGACTTGTCATCTTGTTATCTATGTGGTGTTAAAAACTTTTAGACTCTTTTTAAAATTGTCATTGTTGTTTTGTTTTGCTCTTTGTTTTATTTTAAGCCAGAGCCTCACTGTGTGTAGGCTCCCCATGTGTAGACGGCTGGCTTCTACCTCGATATGTAGCTGAGGATGCTCTTGAACTCTTCATGAGTCTCCTGGATCCAGCTCCTAAGTGCTAAGGTTTGTGCCACTACACTTGGCTCCAGTGTGACATCTGGCTATGAACATCCATCCTCAGACATACATCATTTCTTTGTGCTGATATGTCTCGTCTTTTTGTAATTTATTATATATTATTACTCTTTCTCACCTATTATTTTCTTACTTGTATTCATTATTATTATCACCATCATTTTTTTTTTTCAGTGCTACGGCTCAAACTTGGTTCCTTGCTAGGCAAGTAATGTCTCACTAAAAACATATTTTCCAAGTCCTTTAGTGTTCCTTTTTTTTTTTTATGGTTTTTTTTGAGACAGGGTTTCTTTTGTCGTCCTGGCTGTCCTGGAACTCACTCTGTAGACCAGGCTGGCCTTGAACTCAGAAATCCACCTGCCTCTGCCTCCCAATTGCTGGGATTTAAAGGCATGCGCCACCACCGCCCGGCTAGTGTTCCTTTTAATGTCTACATTTAATTTAAAATTTGTATTCATGTATTGTGTGTGTTCATGAGTATGCACATTTGAGTGCAAGTACCCAGGAAGGCCAGGAGAGGGCATCAGAGCCCCCAGTAGCTGCAGTTTCTGGCAGTTGGGAGGCTCCTAATTTGGGTGCCAAACTCAGGTCCTCTGCAAGAATAGCAAGAGCTCTTAACTACTGGGCCATCTCTCTAGCTTTGCCTCTACAATTGAAAGATGCCCTTTGAGAAGGCAGTATTTAACATAGAGGATGAATAAAAAGAGTTTTCAGAAAATATTCCCTGTACAAATCTGGGCACACTCATCAGTTTAATAATTCTGCACACTTTCAGAATCCATTTCAGTAACCCATTTGATAAGTAGCACCCACAACAATACCAACAGGTAGCATTTACATTTGACCTTATAATACATTGGGCATTGTTCTAATAAATAAATTTATGTATTTATGACAGTCTCACATTGTAGTTCCAGTGGGCCTTAAACTCCTGGTAATTCTCCTGCCCGACCCTCATAAGTGCTGGGATTACATCTGGCTTTTAATCACTTTATAAACATGTTCTAAGCATATATATATATGTCTATGTATATATGTATATGCATGTATACATGTATACAAATGACATGTATATGTATATACATCCTTTTTCTTTTGAGACAGGAGCTCACTATATAGCCCTGGCTTGCCTACAACACTCTATGTAGACTAAGCTGGCCTTGAATTCATAGAGTTCTTCCTGCCTCTGCCTCTGAAGTTCCAGGATTAAAGGTGTGTCTCGCCTGGCTATTTATATGCATTTCTAATATGAACACATATAAACAGAAAGCCATGGCCAGCCCATCTTATCCCTCCAAATTCCACTTGAATCCCATGCGCCACTTCTTGGATTCTCTGACACTACCAAGTTAGGCTTTCTGCCCTCATTCCCCACCTTTATACACAGGCAGACTAGCTCTTTAGCCCCTTGTCCCTGGTTTCCTTCTTGATGTCTATCTCTACTCTGATCCACTCTGCTTGGTAGTTGCTTGAGGGAGATGTGACTTCCAGAATAGACCACAGCAGTTCCATTCCCTACCTCTGTCCCAGCTCACTATATTCCTACCTCATGTGTGAATTTATGCAGGTCCCAAAACAATGAAGATTCTCTCTCTCTCTCTCTTTTTTTTTTGTTTTTTTGTTTTTTTTTTTTGTTTTTTTTTTGTTTTTCGAGACAGGGTTTCTCTGTGTAGCCCTGGCTGTCCTGGAACTCACTCTGTAGACCAGGCTGGCCTCGAACTCAGAAATCCGCTTGCCTCTGCCTCCCAAGTGCTGGGATTTAAAGGTGTGCGCCACCACCGCCCGGCTGAAGATTCTCAATAACTGTTGAATGATGTTGAAAGGAATAAATGAAGAATGGATGGATGGTCTTACAAATATATGAACACAAATACACAGGTGAGACTGTAAACTCAACAGGACTCTCTCACCCTTCTCAGTCACTTGCAGACTGCCTTGTTCTCCCCTTCAAGACAGTACTTAGTTGATTGGGGGAGGGGGACGGAGGCTGGACAGTGACGGGTCCGATTCCATCTATGCAGGCTGGGGGAAAAAATCCTGATTATCTTTGCATCCTCAACCTGCCCCTATGCAGGGGCCTTAGAAGCGCCGCATTCCCTTGCTCAGGTCTCTCTCTGCTTGGTATGGTATGATGAAGTGAGGTGGAGTAGGAAGAGGTTTTATTTCCTTCCTTTACCTTATTCTCTTTCCCAGCTTCCTGATGATGCTCCTCCATGGTGCTCCTTAGCTGGGACATACAAGAATCCTATGACAGGCCACGGCCTGCGCGTTCCAAGAGCTTGGATGAGAGAACCTTGTAGGGATGCTATCAGCTGACATTGACACTAGCTGCCGCCTCCCTGGGTGGTTCCTATCGCCCACAACTGCTCCTTCTGATTGGGCACCAGTTTTAACACCTGAGTCTCTATTGGCTGTCAGGCCTGTCAATCTTACGTGGGCTTTTAAGCGGCGCCAGAGAGCGGGCCCAGGATAGGCCAGGGCCTGAGGGGCTCTAGGGTCACAGAGGTCACGTGCCAGTCCCGCGGGTGGACCCCACAAACCCGGCGGTTCCGGTCCCCGCCTTCTTCTAACGGGCACGAGCAGAGGTGCACATGCGCATTAGGGCATCTTGGCGCCACCAGGCGGTGGGCGGGGCGGGGAGTCCAGAGGGGGGCGAGGGTTGGGAGGGAGGTTTGGGTAGGGAGGAATGGGGAGCCCGAGTGTGTCAGGGGGTCTAGGGGTGAAGGCAGGCTGCAATGTCTGTGGAGAAAGAGCTTCCGTTCCTGTTTTCACACCCGGGCCGGAAAGTACGGAGTAAGCAGCTTAGGGAGCCGCGGGGACGCAGTAAGGCCCGGATACCGGGCACCCGTAGGAAGCCCCGCCGGGACCAAAGGCGGTCGCCACCGGAGTCACAGTGCAAGAAGGCGCAAGTGCGAGAGAAAGAGAAGGTGTGGATACCTTGGAATGGACTCATCGTGATTGGGAAGAGAGTGGAACTCTTGGATAGAAACGTGCAAAAGTCTAACCCAAAGTTGGAATCTGAGTACTGGAAGCTGGAGGGCGCCGGGAAGAAATTCTCAAAAGAGAAATCAGGCCTGCAACAGGAGACGGTGGACGGGAAGCTCTTGAACAGTGTAGGAAGGACGGTGCAGGCTCCAGCAGGTTTGGAGGATGACAGCCCAGAGAAGACTTGGAGAGAGCTGGAGGACAGACTCAAAGCTGGTGTACCCAAAAGCGCAGAGATGACTGCAGAGCGTGAAGAAAACGTGAAGTCTACCTCTAGGGACACTGGAGGGGACTTGAGGTCTAGAGGGGATCAACTGAGGCAGAATGAGGAATTAGAGTCGAGTGGAGAGAACTTGATGTCCAAGAAAGAGAAACGGACATCCATTGGAGAGAAGACGGTAGGCAGAAGAGAGAAGCGGAGGTCTACTGATGAAAAAATGGACAGTAGGGAGAGGCGGGGGTCTGTTGTAGAGAAAATGGACAGTAGAGAGAGGCGGGGGCCCATCAGAGAGAAAGCGTTGGACAGTGAAGAGAAGAGAGGATCCATTAGAGAGAAGGCGGCAGAGAGTAGAGAGAGGCGGGGGTCCGTCAGAGAGAAGGTGTCAGACAGTGGAGAGAAGCGGGGCTCCATCAGAGACAAGATTTCCGACACTAGAGAGAGGCGAGGGTCCATCAGAGAGAAGGTGTCAGACAGTGGAGAGAGGCGGGGGTCCATTAGAGAGAAGGTGTCGGACAGTGGAGAGAAGCGGGGCTCCATCAGAGACAAGATTTCTGACACTAGAGAGAGGCGAGGGTCCATCAGAGAGAAGGTGTCAGACAGTGGAGAGAGGCGGGGGTCCATTAGAGAGAAGGTGTCAGAGACTAGAGAGAGGCGGGGGTCCATCAGAGAGAAGGTGTCAGATAGTGGAGAGAGGCGGGGGTCCACCAGAGAGAAGGTGTCAGAGAGTAAAGAGAGGCGGGGGTCCATTAGAGAGAAGGTGTCAGACAGTGGAGAGAGGCGGGGATCCATCAGAGAGAAGGCGAAATTGAGTAGAGAGAAATTGAGGCCCAGTGGAGAGAAACTGAGACCTGGTGATAAAAGTTCAAGATCCACTGAAGATATACTGGAGTCAAATATTGAGGAATTGGAGTCTGATGAGGTGAAGCTGGAAGAGCATTCAAGAACAGGAAGTGCCATCGAAGAGACTATTGAAAGAGTGATAAATATTACTGGTGGTGAAAGTTTGATGGAAAATATGAGTCAGGAAATGCAAATTCCTTCTGAAAGTGTGCAAGACATAGATGACCACGAAGGAGCAGAGGAAGGGGTGGAGATTGACCGTAATATCTTGGATGGAGTGAGCGAGACTGCTGATGAATCTGTTCCTAAGGAAGAGAAAGACACTCTTGGAGAGAGCTCCAAAGAATCAGGTGGATGAAAATGCAAGGAGACAATAGAGCTGAGGACTTTGTTGGTCTTGAAAGGGTGAATATGAGTGAGGAGTCTGGACCTCAAAGGAGCATGGGAAAGGAACTGCAGGAGCCACTGGGCATGGAGGCCCAGCCAGTGTCAGTGGACGTGAAGAATGGGAGGACAAAGAAAACATTTTAAGGAGAAAGAAACGATTTGGGAGTGAATGCTAAGAAGACGGACACTGACTGTTTCCTGCTTGAAGAACCGTTTGAGAAATGGGTCTAGGGTGGCTGGATTTTGACAGATATGTACATGGTCAGGGGTACGAGATGTAGGAGAAGGTCCAAAACAGATTAGAGCTGGATAAAGGTTTGATGTTGAGGGCCGTGGGAGAAGCAGCAAAGAAGGAGGTGACTGAAACAGACACCAAAACTGAGGGGCTCCAGCCGGGAGAAACAAGGGGAGAGGAGCGATGGAATGAAAGATGAAGGACACCACAAGCCACACCCTGCCACAGTGCTTAGGTTTGTTGATTTTTTTTCTTTTAGTTTTTTGAGATAGGTTCTCATGTGTATCCCTGGCTATCCTGGAACTTGCTCTGTAGACCAGGCTGGCCTTGAACTCACTTGCCTCTGCCTCCTGAGTGCTGGGATTAAAGGCGTGTGCCAAGTTTGAAACCGATTTCTTTTACTGTTTCTATACATGCCGTGCAGACAGCTCTGCCCTCTGTTTTGACAGGCCTCTGACAGAGCCCTCTGCATCTGGGTGACCCTCACCTCGATGGTGACTAATCTCATTTCCCAGGCTCACCTCACCCCTCATGTCAGATTTGAATTGTGAAGTTTTTCTTTGTACCTGGATTGTTTCTATCTTTCACTTTTTTTTGAGACAAAGTTTCTCTGTGTAGCCCAGGCTGTCCTTGAACTTAACTTTATAGACCAGGCTGTCTTGGAACTCAGAGATCCACATGCCTCTACTAGGATTAAAGATGTGGCCCACCACAACCTGACTATATCTTTCACTTTTAATTACTCATCTGGTCACCTGTTGATGTGATGGAAAGTGTGTTTTTTGTTTTGTCTTTGTTTGGTTTGGTTTGGTTTTGATGATGGTTTAGACATGTACCCCTGGCTAGCCTGGAACTATATGTAGACCAGGCTGGCCTCTCAAATACAAATGTCTACCTGCCTCTGCCTCCAAAGTCCTGGAATATTTTTTTTTTTTTTGAGACAGGGGTTTCTTCTTTCCTCTGAATGGCATCAAATTCTCAATCCTCCTGAATTCTGACATCAAAGGCTTGGACCACTTGACTTAAGCCTTGTTCGTAATTTTCCCTCATCCCAAGGACCAGAAAAGGCCTCAAGCATCTGTTGTCAAGACTCTATTATCAGGCTGGAGAGCTGCCTCATTGGTTAAGGGCATTTGCTGTTCTTGAGAAAGACCTGTGTTCTAGTCCCAGCACCCATCTGGAGGTTCACTACTTCCTCAGGCACACACATAAAAAAACCTCATTATCAAGATAGGTCCTTATGTCTTTACAGTAGAGGTTGCAGAGTGGATAGAATAGAATATTTCACCAAGCCTGATGTGGTGGCATACACATTTAATCCCAGCACTCAGAAGACAGAAACAGGCAGATCTCTCTGAGTCCAAGGCCAGCCTGATCTACAGAAGGATCTCTAGGACAACCTGTATTGAAAAAAAAAAAAAAGTATTTCACCATTTCTTCTCTGGCTATTTTTATTTTAGAGCACAATTTCTGAATAGAACTTTCATTTAAATGTCATAAGCATGTGATAGCCTCATGTCTTTAATTGTTCTTTAATTGTTGTTATTGTTGTTGTTGGTGGTGGTGTGTGTGTGTGTGTGCATATATGCATGTGCGTGTGTGTGCATGTGTGTGCGTGTGTGTAGGGAGAGTCTTTTTGTTTGTTTGTTTGTTTGTTTTTTGAGACAGGGTTTCTCTGTGCAGCCCTGGCTGTCCTGGAACTCACTCTGTAGACCAGGCTGGCCTTGAACTCAGAAATCCACCTGTCTCTGCCTCCCAAGTGCTGGGATTAAAGGCGTGCGCCACCACTGCCCGGCAAGGCAGAGTCTTATATAGCCCAGGCTGGCTTCAAATTCTCAAATTCAATATGGACCTTGACTTTCTGATCCTCCTCACTCCACCTCCAAAGTTCTGAGGTTACAGACATGGGCCATGTGGGCCACCATACTCATACACAGCTTCTGTGGTGTTGAGGATAGAGCCCGGGGCTTTGTGCATGAGGCAAGCACTCTGCCAGCTTTGGAAAGCTCCAGCCTTCATTTGTTTTGGCAAGGTCTCAAGCTGCAGTCCACGCTTGCCTACAGCTCACAGTGCAGCCCAGGCTGGCCTCAAATGCATAGCATTACTCCTGCCTCAGCTGGAATCAGAAATGGGAGCTACCACAGGCGGCTGTCTCATGTTTTTTCATTGTTTCCAAAAGACTTTTAAGCACTGTGCTATATTTCTGTGTGCACCATGAACCCTAAGATAGTTTCCCCATCCCTCTTTATTTTGGCCAGTTACATCATCTGATAGATGTCACAGAAAGTGACCATAGGACATAAACATTGTGCCAGTCCCTGCCATTTCCCCTTGAGAACGGAGTCTTACTATGTTATTCTCAATCTTGTTTTAGCTTACTGAGTGTTAGATTTACAAACCGCACTGTGCCTGTCGTAGCTGTTAATCATCTCTCTGTCCTCTCCAGCATGTAAGCTCTATGGGAACAGAAATGTGTGTCTGTGTGGAGCCTGCCGTCGTTCTCTGGACATTAAGCATGTATTCATGGAATTCGTCTGTTGCATTCATTGACTTTACCCATCTCAGTACCACTTAACATCAAGGGATAAATCATTGCAGTGATTTTCCTGCGTGACTGTCTCACCTCTCTGATGCCTGCAGGCGTCTCTGTTCCATACTTGAACCTGAGGTTTGTCTGAGCACAGGATGCATGCTGGGCAGCTTGATGGTGTGCTTTGCATGGCCACTGGCGCTCCAGATCTATTTTTATGCTGGGGCCAATTACACAGCAAGACAATCTGTGGCTGTGGCCTGCTTTCTGCTCTCTGTCCCCAACATTTCTGCTCCTTCCTTGGTCATAAACTGATTGCTTGCTCCTTCCTCTGTACTCTGAGGACTCTGACCCCGCAGTTGGACAATAAAGTAGAGATAGTGGTAATGGTCCAGTTGTAAAGAGAAGCTCCTGATGACTCAGGCCCTCTAGCAAGGTGTCTTTATGTATTCATTGTAAAAGAAATAGAAAGAGATTTATTTTGACATGTATGAGCATTTTGCTTGCATGTATGTCTGTGTATCACATGGGTGCTGTGCTCATAGAGGCCAGAAGAGGATGTTGGATCTTTTGGAACTGGAGTTACAGATGGTTGTGAGCCAGGTCTCTGCAAAATCAGCAAGTGCTCTTAATTACTGAGTCATTTCTCTAGTACATTTGTTTGTTTGTTTGTTTGTTTGTTTTGAGATAAGGTCTCTCTATATTCCATGGGCTGGTCTTGAACTTGTTATGTAGCCCCACTGACCTCGACCTCTCAATCCTGTCTCAGTCTCCTAAATACTGGGATTGCAAATGTGCAAGGCCATTCATTCCTGCCTTTCTTTGGTCATCAGATCTTGTTGTTGGTGAGTGATACAGATCTTCTGCTTCTGTTATGAGCAGCTAAGTTGGATAAGTACAGACCAAGCACTGTGCGCGTTCTCTATCATTCAACCCACTGCTCAGTTCTCTGCAATGGGAACCATTCCTTTACCAAGTCTACCAACTCCAAACTGCCAGAGCCAGGCTGTAACTCAGCCAGCCTGACCTCAGAGCCACCCTACTCTGCTGCACATCGGTCTCCATTGTCTCTGGACCAGCTGACCTTGTTTCCTAGCTTGCCAACATAGGCTCTGCCTGGAGTAGGGGAGAGGCTGATTAAACAACCCTTCCATTCATTCAGCGAAGTTTGCAGAAAAATCACTTGAGTGGCAATTTTGTAAGAACATAAATGCAGGGGCTTGGGTATAGCTCGACTGTTAAGAGCACTGGCTGCTCCTTCAGGAGACAGGGTGGAGTTCAAGGACAGCACCCACACGCTGGCTCACAAACATCTGTACTTCCAATTTGGGTGCCCTCTTCTGACTTCCTCAGGCACACGTGGGGTATGGATGCGTGTGCAAATAAAATACTTATATACATAAAAACATCTTTTAAAGAAAGAACATAAACTCAAAAAAGTAATGTTCATTTTCTTCCTCAGGCCCATGTCTTCCTGAGACCATCATTTGAAGATTCCTCTGGTGAGTCTGTGAGCTGAGGTGTTGTCGTCTCTTTAAGAGACACCTTCCTAGGCACAAGGCAAAGACTCAGCATTTGCCCCTGTATGGGAAATGATCTACACTTCTGGAAGTATAGCTGCTGATGAATCACCAGATTTCTGTTCCTTGGCTGGATCACTCACCTGAGATATCAGATGTATTCCACCAGATCCCAGACACCAGTGAAAATCAAGCTACTATGACAGATGACAAATGCCACCTGCCTCGAAAGTGCAGGTGTGTTGGATTGTCTAGATAGCTAGAAGGTTTGTGTGTTTATATTGAGTGTATTGTTTAACTATGTAGCTCAGGCCAGCCTGGAACTTCTATGTACACCACGCTGGCTCTGAACTCACAGAGATCCCCCTGCTTCTGCCTCCAACATGCTGGGATTAAAAGTGTACATTCTCTATCCAGCCCTTGTTTTATTTGGAAGGTTCTTGCTATGTTGCCTAGCTTGGCACTGAACTCATGATTCTCTGCTGCAGACTCCCAAGCAGCTGAGATAACAGGACCACAAAATTTCATCTGGATTTTGTGTGTATAATACCCTATTCTGCTAAAGTTAGCCAAAACATACACATCCGGGAGTTAAGGCCTTCTGAGTGATTTTATGTGTTTCTGTTTTCTTTTCTTTTTTAAAAAATATTTCCAATAGTATGTGTTTCTTTTCTCTTTCTTTCTTCCTTTCTTTCTCTTTCTTCTTTTCTTTCCTTTAATACAAGGTCTCAGTATGTGGCTCAGGACTGGACTTACAAGGGTATAAGAAGGACCAGCTGTAGTGGTGCACGCCTTTAATCCCAGCACTCAGGAGACAGAGGCAGGTGGATCTCTGAGTTGAAGACCAGTTTGGTTTACTTGGAGAGTTCTAGGCCAGCCAGGGCTTTATAGTGAGACTCTGACTTGGAAAGAATAAAGAAGAAGAAGAAGGAGCAGGGACCATACAGGTGAACATGGAGGACAGATTTTCTAAGCAGGAAGGAGAGTGTGCTGACGCCCGTGATGGGAAGCTGAATGGATGTCAGGAAAGGGCAAGGAGAGGAGCTGGTAAAGCTACAGCAGGGAAGCAGTGTCCAGGCCAATCAGACGTGGGGATGGGAAGAACCTTGATGAAAGGACTTAGACTTTGTTCTGTCAGCGATAGGGAGAATGACACCGTTGGACCTGTATTTCACTGATGGAAATGACTAAGTCAAGAGATGGAACCACCTGGGCCCAGGGGAGGGGCCACCTCAAGCAGGAGATATTGAGAGCAGATTGTAATGGTTCAGGGTGGAGAGGGCGGAGCTATGGACTAAGGCAAGACTGGGAATAAAAAGAATAGAGGCTTTGAACAGGTTTAAAAATCCTATTCAAATCCAGGTAATGGTGGCACACACTTTTAATATCAGCACTTGGGAGGCAGAACAGGCGGATCTCTATGAGTTTCAGACCAGCCTGGTCTACAGAGTGAGTTCCAGGACAGCCAGTGCTACACAGAAACCCTGTCTCAAAACCAAAACCAAAACCAAAAAACCAATCAAAACAAACAAGCCAACAAACAGCCCAAACCAAACTATTCCAGCAATCCTTGCTCATCCATTGTGGATAAGAGGTGAGGGAGCAGGCACACAGCTCACAGACCGGCTGATGTGCACATCAGGGGTGTCACCTAATCCTGAGACAGCTTTATGGGAGGGATTGTGGGTTCTGATTTACTTAATAGTGTATGTGTAGGAGAGAGGAGAAAGTGGGAGCGGGAAAGGGAGAGTCACAGGTACAGCTGTCAGAGGACAGCTCTTGGGTGTAGATTATCGCTTTACACCTTGTTGAAGTAGGGTTCTTGTTTCCGCTGGGCTATATCCTCCAGGTTGGTTTTCAGCCTTTTAGGAAAATTTCCTATCTCTGCCTTTTATTTCTCTGTAGGAGTGCTGGGTTACAGATGCGTGCTGTGGTTTCTGACTTTCTTTTTTTTTAAGAATTATTTATTTTATTTATATGAGCACACTGTAGCTGTCTTCAGACTCACCAGAAGACAACATTGGATGCCATTACAGGTAGTTGTGAGCCACCATGTAGTTGCTGGGAATTGAACGCAGGACCTCTGGAAGAGCAGTCAGTGCTCTTAATAACTGAGCCTTTTTTTTCTTTTTCTTTTTCTTTTTCTTTTTTTTTTTCAGTTGTTTGATTGGTTGGTTAGATGGTTTATTGACAACCATGACTGTCCTGGAACTCACTCTGTAGCCTAGGCTGGCCTCCGAGTCATAGAATCCACTAGCCTCTGCCTCCTGAGGGTTGGGGTTTTTGTTTGTTTGTTTGTTTGTTTGTTTGGTTTTGGTTTTGGTTTTTCAAGACAGCGTTTCTCTGTGTAGTTCTGGCTGTCCTGGAACTCACTCTCTGAGTGTTGAGATTAATGGTGTGTGCCACTGAGGGGCTTGTTTTGTTGTTTTTAACGTGGGATCAGGAATTGAAATTCAAGTTGTCAGCCTTGCACGGCAGGTGGCTTTATTGACTGAGCCATTTCACAGCCAGAGACTGTTTATTGTATGAGTTTTATAGATCATAAAAATTGAACATGGAACAGTCATCCTAAGTGACACTACTGATTGTGAGTGTTGGAGATAGGATTTGAACCCTAGAGAACCTGTGTGCTTTCTCACTATGTGATAGCTTCACCAGCAGAGTGAATTACCACTGTCAAGTAATTAGGGGTCAGGTCACCTACCAGGGAAGCAGTTAAAAGCTGTGTGGTGGAGCATGCCTGTAAACCCAGCATTTAGGAGTTGAAGGAAGGATGATCAGGAGTTTAAAGTCACCCTTGGCTATGTAATGAATTTGAGTCTAGCCTATATGAGACCTTGCTCAAAAAACAAACAACAACAACACATAAAGTGGAGGGAAAGGGGGAGAAAGCAGCTACAACATTTAGTGCTTGGTAGAGTTAGGCCTAGAACTGCTCACTGATCGCAAAGCATACAGCCATGCTCTTGGGTTCTAGTTCAAGCCACAGATGTTATATGGGAATCATTTTTGGAACTAATTAACTTTTAAAAATTTTGAGATTTAGCCCGGCATGGTAGCACGCACTCTGGAGGCAGAGGCAGATGTATCTCTTGAGTTCCAGGCCATCTTTGTCTACAGAACAAGTTCCATGATAGTTAGGGCTAAGCAGAGAAACATTGTCTTGAAACCCAACCCAACCCAACCCAAACAAACCCAAACAAACCAAACAAAAATTTAGAGATCCATAGTAAAATGTAGATTTCTGGATTTCATTGAAAAACTGAGATATTTGGCCACATTAGACCTATGCAGCAGAAGTAGTCACCTGTCTGATCCCTTCACCTGGGATCAATCACCTGTCTGATCAATCTTTATCACCTGGAGTGTTCCCAGGCCCTGGGGTCCCTGCCCAGCTCTGCAGTGTTTGCACCTGGTGTTCCACCATGAGAGGAACCACTGAGTGTGGCCTAGATGCCAATCTGTGCTTTAATCAGTGTTGGGCCCAGGCCCCCCTGCCTGCCTAAACATCTCTTTTGAGTTTAAGGGAATATAAGACAAGATATGTGCTTTTTCCTTCATGCTGTGAGAACTGAAGAAAAAAAAGGAGTGTTCAGTACTCACTGTTCTTGAGCCCATGCAGAGGAGGGTTATGTACAATTGCTTCAGGACAAAGAGGAACGACCATAGATCCTGAGGTCAGCACTGATCAAAGGCAGCATAGGCTGGAAGTGGCCAACACACCATTAGTCTCAGCGCTTGGGAGACAGAAGCAGGTGGATCTCTAATGAGTTTGAGGTCAGCCTGGGCTACATAGCCAGTTTCAGGCCAGCCAGAGCTACACGGTGAGACCCGCCCAGTCTGAAAAAAAAATGTTTTTAAACTACAATATAGCAATAGGCAGAGTGGTCCATGCCTGTAATTCCCCCAGACTCTGGGAGACTGAGGGTGGAAAAATCACTGAGTTCTAGACCAGCCTGGCAATCTAGGGAGACCCTGTCTTAAGATCCAAATAAAAGAAAAGAAACAAATGTGGCTGTGGAAAATGGCAAAAGTAAGGAGCTGTGCAAATATGCTGGATTTGATGTTGTTGTTGTTTGTTTCTTTCCTTTGTTTTGTGATGAATCATTTTTTAAGTTTTGAGCTGTAGTCTTCGGCTATTTCATAAGGAAGTCTTCAGGGAAAGCTTATGTGTGCATGCATATGATAGTGCCTTCTACAGTTCAGACAGCTCAATATTTTCTTTAGAGACCCAGTTTCAGTCCATTGTTAGGAAGTTTTACTTTTTACTTCACCTTGGCAACATGTTCCTGCTTACTGAGCGATAGCACAAGATCCAGGTTGGCAAACAGATATCTTGTCAAGTTAGATACTTTATTATTATGAAATTTTAAAAAATTTACTTTTTAGGTCATTTTATTTTATGCTATGTGTATGAGTGTTTTGCCTGCATGTACGTCTGTGTATCTTGAGCATGTCTGGTGCCCTCAGAGTCAGAAGAGGAACTGGAGTTACAAATGGTTGTGAATCACAATGTGGGGGGCTGAGTATCTGTCCTGGGTTCTCTGCAAGAGTAATAGGTGTTCTTAAACAAGAATTTAATCAATTACTTAATTTATTAATAATCAATCAATAAGTGCTTCTTGACCACATAGCTCCTTTTTAACCTCTTTCTCTCAGACACTACACCCAGATTGCGGTTCCCACACTCCCGCCATTCCTTCCCGTCCCCACCCACTGCACCCCACCACCTCTCCTCTCCCCGAGATTTCCTCCATTTCCCTTAAGAAGAAAAGAGAACAGGCCTCCCAGGGTTACAAAGACCAGGAACAAGCCCTCATATCAAGAGTGGACAAGGCAACCCAATAGGAGGGAAGGGTTTGAAGAGCAGACAGAAGAGCCAGAGACAGTCCCACAAAGCAACAAGAACACCACGTGACACAAATATAACAAACATTCACAGGATCTAGACCCACACAGGGTCTGTGATTGAACTTTCAGTCTCTGTGAGCCCTTCTGAGCCTGCTTAGTTGATTCTGTGGGTAGGGCTCTTGTGGTGACCTCGACCCCTCTGGCTCCTACAGTCCTTCCTCCCCATCTGCGGGGTTCCCCTGGCTCTGTGTGGCTCTCTGTATCTGCTTGCATGGCTCACTGGATGAAGCCTCTCTGATGGCAGCTGGGTTAGGCACTGATCTGTGAGCACAGCAGAGTATCATTGGCAGTCATTTCATTGCCTTTTCCCCCCCAGTCATGTTTGG